GGAGACACAACATCTTTGTATGTGGTGCTGAGGATCGAACCCGGGTGAGTGCACTACCGCTTGAGCCACATCCCCAGCCCCAATCTTGAACAATTTTTAGACTTTTAATCCAGTACTTCCATAAATATTATGAGATAAGATCCCCACCCCCCATAGATAGTTTATTTCCCCCATATCACTTGCTGAATAATCAGTCATCTCTTCCACGTTCATTTTCAATTTCTACTTTCTCATACACAAAATTCCCATTTATTTACAAGTTTATTTGGGGGGCTCTGGGTCTTGATCCACTTGTCAATGACATACTTTTCTAATTACTACTGCTCTATGTTTTGGTGCCTGATGGGGAGATGCCCCCTCTTTGTTTAATTTTTTCTTGGCCGTCCTTTGAAATCCATAATACTAAATATCTTTACAAAACAGCTGAATCTGAAAGTCTATTATTTGTACCTATTTCTCAATATAAAGTTCTAATTTATGCCTTGCTTTTCAATATTTATTATTTTCACAGATTTTTTGACATCTTTATATCAGATTCTACTTGCATATATAACAAAAAATGGGGTCGTGGAAACACTATGGGCTTAATAATCATAGAATCTATATTTGAGACCAGAGTCTGCCGTTTGTCAGCTGTGTGACCTGGGAGACACCAATCACTCTCTCTGAGCCTGGGTTTCTTCATTTTTAACAAGGAGGTAATAACAGCCTCTCTCATAGGGTATCATGAGGATTTTATAGGAGAAGCCATCTAAATATTTGAGAAAAGATGCCGGCACATATCACAGAGATATTAGAAGCTATAGGTGTGAAAAAATAGGCTATAATTTTTTTTTAATGGTACATAGTATTCAGTACCATTGTTGTAGAAATTGGCTAGAACATTTCACAAGCAGAGAAAATCTTGTCCTGGGACTGTAAATCTATATAACCTACGGTTTGTGGATAATGGACATTTTGATGATCTCATCCGATTCCGTGACTCCTATTTTTCAAGATGTGTGTCCAAGTCTTTGACTTTGAACTCCAATCAAGAAAGGAGCACCGCCCCCCCACGACCACCACCAAAAAAAAAAAAAAAAATTCAAACAGTGCATTTGCTAAACATAAATGGACTGCAGTTGTCATTAGGGTGTCCTAAGAGATGAAGGTAACTTATAAAGCAATGTGTAAACAAGATAAACTAGGGAGTCCCGGAGTCTGCATCCCAGGAAAGATTACCTTATTAAATGATTATCAGGAAATCAATCACTTTGGCCTGTAAATAACTGCCATGTGTGGTAATGTGGTTGTCACACTATATTTGCTACAACTCAACTAGAAGAAAAGGAAAAATGCAAAAGTGTGAATATAAGTCCATAAATATCTCCAAAGAGACTACTGCAAATTTAATTAACTGAGCAATTGAGTCTGACTTCTTTAAATTTAGATCTGAAATATGAGGCCTTCCTCCAGAGTATCATTCTTATTAGAACGAGGGAGGGTAGGAGAAGCAGGGAGAAAACAAAACAAAAAACAAAAGCTCCATTGAATTTTAGCTCAGTAATGTTTTATCATTAGAAGAGATTAAAAGAAGGAATCGTTATGTCTCTTATAATCAGCTTTTGAGTCAGCTTTTTCCCTGCTATAGCTAAAAGGACCCAACCAGCACAACTGTAGAGAAGGAAGTTTATTTGGGGGCTCACGGTCCCAGTCCACAGACAGCAGGCTCCACTCCTCGGGGCTCGAGGAAGAGTGTGGTGGAGGGAAGCAGCTCACATGGTGATCAGGAAGCAGAGAGAGACTCCACTCTCCAGAGACAAATAGACCCCAAAGCCACGCCCCCAATGCCCCCTCCTCCAGCCACACCCACCTCCTCCAGCCACCACCCAGTTAATCCCATCAGGGCCCATTCACTGATTAGGTTAAGGCTAGAACACAACCATTTCTACTCTAAACCTTCCTGCTTTGTCTCACACTTGAGCTTTTGGGGGAACACTTCACTTTATCCAAACCGTAACAATCAGTAAAGTATATTAGGCAAACACCCCGATGTGGCTGTTTTTCCCCCAAAATAGGACAAAGTCCTCAGTAAATAATTCGACTACTACAAACATTGTGATCCCTACTGAATGTAAAGAACCAGCGCTGTACAAAAAGATATGGCGCATAAGGCACCCCGTATCTTGGCAGAGCACCATTTCTTTGGCTTTACCTTCCAGGGGCCCAAAGTTCAGAGGAAGGTGGAGATGTGAGTGTGTGGAGCACGCGGTAGAGTGGGTAGAGCTCTTGGTAGAGGCACAGATTCAAACAAAAGAAGACAGGCAACGATCAGCAGTCATTGGGCCACGTTATGGAAGTGATCGGGGACCTCAAGCAGAAGTGTCCTTATACAAGATACACCCTCCTGCAGCCTCTGGCTCCACACTGAAGCATGTGGAGTCATCTGGGCCATCGCAGTCCCAGGGGGCATTCACTTCCGACAATGACCCATGACAGAGTCTTTTCATCTCCTTCAGGCAGCAGGCTAGGTACATGGCCTTGGAGCCGGCTCTGCACACCCAAGTCCCCTCCCTTCTCCATCCTTCCTTTCCATTTTCTTCCTCTCTCTCTTTCTCTACTCCCTCCTTCTCATTGTTTCTTGCTCTGATGCCCATATACCTGTTCTCTCTCCAACATACTCAACAAACACACCACACACGAATTGCGTTGGGGGTGGGACAGGAGGCCCCCACATGACTGCACCGTCTTCTAAATGTAGGTTTTGCGATGCTCTTATGCTGGGGCTGGGGTGGTAGGACTCACAAGGATAACACCATAGAGGCAATGCTCTGTTTCCCAGGAGGCCCGCCCCCACTGTGTTTGCCCAACTGGGGCTAAAGGGAGCACCAAATCCTAGACTGGAGAAATTCACACAGGCTGACCCAAGGGGAGACCAAGTCTTGGAGAAGCCAAGATTCGAACCAGGCTTGGAATGCAGCATGAGCCATATTATAGTTGGGAAATTCAAGACCTGAAGGGAAGCCCAGAAAAGCACAAAGCATCTATTATAGTTTAGATATGAGATGTTCCCTAAGAGCTCATGCATTGCAAAAAAAATGTCAGAGGTGAGATAATTAGATTATGAGAGGTGTGACCTAATCAGTGAGTAGATACACCCATATGGATTAACTGGGCTGTAACTATAGGCAGGTAGGGTGTGGCTGGAGGAAGTAGGTTCCTGGGGGTGTGCCTTTGGGGTTGGAATTTTGCCCCTGGTGAATGGAGGTCTTGCTCACCTTCCTGATTGCCCTTCTCTGAGCTGTTTTCCTCTGCAACATCCTGCCACCTGGTGTCCTGTGTCACCTCAGAACCAGAGTAATGGAGTCAGCTGACCATGAACTGAACTTCTGAAATTATGAGCCAAAATAGACTTTTCCTCCTTTGAGTTGTTCATGTCAGGTTTTCTGGTAACAGCAATGCAAAGCTGACCAAATCATCATCTCTCTGCCTCTGCTTTCCTGGACAGCTGGATCTTTAAGTCTAAGGCATCTGTAAATAAGCTTTGTGGTACTTGGAATCACCCTATGTGTTCCTTATCTTTGAGCCCCATCCCCATGTCAGGCCTTAACAATGCCAGGAACATGTGTATTCCCAAAGGACTTGGGCCCATATTGCCATAGTGATACTGTAATGAGGACAGAAGCCAGATACTTCACAAATAGGTGCCCATCCCCTGGGTCCAGAATTCCTCAGGCTGCTTCTAAACATTCTGATAATGGAGTATCTGCTTCAGGCATTGGGGTACATATGGATCACTTTCTTGCTTGTAGGAAATGGTACTCTTCTTTTGGGGCTCATGATCACAGTTGAGGACATCATCAGCAAGAGAAGGCACTATCAGCTTGTCAATGACACTATGACTGAGTGGGTGTGGAGAGCCGTGGCTCGGATCATGATCTCTGATTGCCTCCTAGTTGTGTTTGCACTGGGAACTTCCTGTGAAAAGGTGCAGGTCAAGAAGGCCCCGTTGTTATGGCAACGCCTGGCCTGGGGAGGCTTTCTGTGCAAAGGTGCCGAGCTATATCAATGTGGTCCTTGAGCTCAGGCACCAACTCTGGGGAATAGAGTATTCTGAGCATGACAAGATGACCACCATGTCTCGCCAGTTCCCCTGTGACCTTCAAGTCTGAAACTTTCCCACAAGAAACCTTTTGAGGATAAAAACCTATATAATAAACATGCTGAGCGAGCTCTGGGTCATTATTCCTCCATCAGAGGCAGAGATTTCTCTCTTTTTTTTTTCCCCACCACATCTCCCAAGCATCTGCAGAGTGCCTGGAACACGTTCAACCCTCAGTAAATACTTTGTGGATGAATGAAGTGGCTGTGACAGGAACCCAGCCATCTGGCTCCGGAGTTTGCCCTGGACACCCAAGGTCATCTCTCTCTATTCTCCCCTGCATTTCTCCCCGGGGAGTTGGTTCTCAAGCCTGCAGGGGAATCACCTGGGCAAGCTTGTTAAACACAGATCGATCGCTGGACCCTGCCCCAGGATTCTGATCTGTAAGTGGGTCTGGAGGAGGGGCCGGAGATTTTCCATGTCTACCAAGCCCCCTGGTGAGGCCGCTGCTGCTGATCTAGAAACCACACATTGAGCTCCTCTGTTCCAGTCCATAAACCCCATGTTTTTATTACCAACCATTTCTCCCCCGCCCAGGAAGGAAATCTCCTCCTGCTCACCATGGTAGGAGTGGGAAGGAACAACTGAAAACCCACCCATCTGTTTACAGGCAGATGCAAATTTCAGCAACCGCAGCAGCAGGACATACTGAAGTAATAGGGCCCATAATTGACAATCGGGAAACCGGGGATTTGAGTCCTAGGCCTCCTGACTGCAGTAGCGTGACCCTGGGCAAGTCAGTGGATCTTTCTCCTCCTCATTCTGTCTAATGGGCATGCGCAAGAACATGCTTGCTACATCCCTAGGTGTTATGAGAAACCCAGGAAGAAACCAAGAAAAACACTCGGAAGACACTCACGGATGGTAGATGCAGCCTGTGTGATTAAGCAGTCAGCTCATGAGGTCCGAACGTTGGTCTGGAAACTAGAATGACTTCTGGTGGGTGATGGCTTGAGTTCAGAAAGAAGCCTGGGCTCCCTTTGTATATACCGTGCCATGGAAACAACAAGAAACAGCAAGATGTTTCCGAGTAGAACATGGAAATTAAAGCCATATACTTCCAGGTGAAATATACTTCATTATCACAGGCCAAACATAAAATAAATAGGGCAGAAATACAGCTATCTGTTCCCCATAAAGAACGGGGAGGAAATTTGGGGAACAATTCCTGAGTAACTTTAACTGCCTCTTCTATCTTTTCACCGCAGAGCCAAGAAGGGCAGAAAATTATGACAAACTAATTATGATGATGGATGGTGAGCCAGTCCCTTCCGTTGGCGACGACATTGCTGGAGCCAAGAGCAGTTCTGCAGCTCGCATACTTCAATAGGCAAGACACTCCAGATGATAATGGGCAATACAGATTAACAACATTATGTTAAAACAGGATAATTATTCTTTTTCATTTCCTAGTTCTTTCCCCGTGAACCTGGTCCTGCCTTACATTTTTCTGTTTCTTGTTTCCAAGGCGCTATCTGCCTCTATCAGGCAGGCAGGCTCCTTTCCTGCTAATTAAAGGTGATTTTGTGCTTGCTTTTCCTGGGGCTTCCAACAGCAGGGGTCCAGAGAACAGGGACTGATGAATCCACTTCAAGGGAACCGCCTTTTCCAAAAGCAGAAAGAGAGGTCATTGGATGACCAGGGACACAAAGCAAACAAGCTCTGCAAAAACAAATCCTGTGATTCTTTTGTTTTGTTTTTTTCCTTTACGTTATTTTTTTCAGGAAAATTATAACAGTGCATGAAGCAGTCGTCTGGTGTGAGGGGGGATGAGTTCAGAATTAAGCAGTGGACATTTTTTACTTCCGCAGGAGGTAAATTCTAGGCAGCATCACCTAATTAAGCAGCCATCTGGGTATGCAAAGGAATAAATTTGCTCCTGCATGCATTCATTCATTCAGGGAGTCAATCAGTTAGTCATAACAAGTGTCTATTAAGAACCTACCCCATGCCAGGCACTGAGCTAGAACCTGGAGGTATAAATATAGACCCCAGCCAATATTTCTCCCCTAAAAACTGCATCAATGACAATTTCTCAAATTTGTATCTCGATTTACAATGCATTTTTAGGACAATGTTTCTAATTTAGGGAGAAGTCAAACAAACACAGCAAGGGAAATAGGCACCATGTTTGCAACCCATAAGGAAGCATCATCAAGATAGGAACATGGGGCTGAATGGAGACCCAGAGAGAGGTTTACTTTAGGTAGTGAACTCACAGAAGCCACCTCAGAGGAGGTGGAGGATTAGCTGATACTAGAAGGACAAAAGCCAGCTAAATATTCCAAGCAGGGGAGAAAGAGAGTCAAGAGAGCAGCATTTGCAAGGCAAAAAAGCATGTGGCTCTCTTGAAGAGCTAAAGAAATTCAAAATGGTGGTCGGTCTGCAGAGTGAGATCAAGAGAGAGGCAAGATGTGACTGCAGAAATACACAGGGACCAGTTTAGACAGGACCTTGCGAGCCACTCCAGACACAGGTGTGGAGTCCAGAACTTGTTTCTAAGTAAATGGGAACACATGGGAGGGGGTTTGTCATAGGGGTGTGAAGTGACTTCCCTGTTCTTTAGAGAATGAATGAAAGGTAAGAGGAGGAAGTATAGAGCCCACAGGGGACAGGAGTCCAAATAAGAGGATGTGGTGGTGGTGGTGGTGGTGAAGATAGATGAAGGAAGAAGTGACTAAAGGCAGAATCTGGAGGTAGGATGGATGGGACTTGCTGGTGGTTTGCTCAGGGATGAGGATCACAAGAGAAGAATCTCAGATGACCTCGGAGCTGTGGGATTGAGTGCCTGGGTGCATGGTAGCACCTTTTATGGAGACCAGCCATAAGAAAATTAAGTTCCAGGGCAGAAACCTCTCACCGCCTTTGGAATCCCAGAAATGACTGAGTGTTCTGCCAAAATGGGTCACTTTCCACCTAGACCTCAGTCCATTTTCAATCCACATGAAGTTGTGTCCTCAAAAACTACCTGGAAATGGTGTCCTAGGAGGAGAGTGTTCCATTCTGACCCATGAGGCCCCCTCCACCAGCAAGGCACTCAGCCACATGCCACAATCCTGGTGTCCACAATGGCGGCTGAGTGGTTTCAGGCCTGGAAGTAACATGGGAGATACATATGCAAAACTCGGCTGTATTTCCATCATAGAATCTGTGCCAGTGACAGTTTCTCATATTTGTATCTCAATTCGTAATTTACAGTGCATTTTTAGGAGAATGTTTCTTAAACTTCAGCATGCATATAAACTCTCTGGGTATTTTGTGAAAAATGCAGATTCTGATTCAGTAGGTCCAGGGTAATGCCTGAGATTATGCATTTTTAGCAAGCTCCTGAGTAATGCTGATATTCGTGACCCGCTCGTGACACCTTGATTAGAGTATGCATTAACCCATGTGATCCTACACAATCTTAGGAGAAGTTTAATCTCCATTCTACAGATGACAAAACTAAGAGCATCTCAAATTGTATCTTGTCCAAACATGGATCAATCCATAGAAGACAGATCTAGGGTACAAATCACAACTCTGGTTTTAATAAATCATAATTAGAAAATTCAAGGGGCCATGCAGTTTGTAAGATTTACTTAATCAGGGGCTGGAGTTGTGGTTCAGTGGTAGAGGACTTGCCTGGCATGTGGGAAGCCCTGGGTTCAATCCTCAGCACTGCATATAAATAAATAAAATAAAAGATCCATTGACACCAACAAAAATTTAAAAAAAAAAAAAAGATTTTACTTAATCAATTTGTCATTTGGAAAATAGGTCAAAGGAAGTCACATTCACACTAGAACTAATCAATATATTTACATGAGGTTAAATTTTAAAAAGAACAATGTTTGAGAATCACTATATTTAACAGAGATCTTTGTGTGTGTAATTTTATTCATTTTTAAATTGAAATATAATTTACATACATTAAAGTACACAGATCTGAAGTGCTGCGTTTTATTCATCTTTAACTGAGGTATAATTTACATACATTAAAATGCACAGGCCTAGAGTGTAAATACCAACCCAAACAAGATAGAGAAACATATTTCCATCATTCCAGAAAATTCCATCACATCCTTTATGGGCTAGTTCTTTGAACTTTGTCAGCAGTGAGAAATCTTGCCTATTAATGAACTTCATTTAAGCAAAGCCATATAATATGGATTCCTTATGTGCCAGCGTTTTAAACTAAGCATAACATTTTGAGGTTCATAACCATTATTTTTTTTTAACAAGAAATGCTCTCTCACTGAACAGTATCTCTAGTTATATTTCAGCATGATTTTCTGATAGCCCTATAATGAGAGGTTTCTCACTGGGGATTAAAATTGTAGAAGTTACACATTGACTACCCACTGGGCTTTCAATTGTAATGAGTTTTGGCCAAACTTCCTGTTCAAGTAAAATACTTTTAAAGCAAGTTTGTCTTTTGCTGACTGACCTTGTGAGTTACTTAATTGCAAACAGTGGTTTCTCTCATGCCTCTGAACACTCTGAAACAAGAAATTTTCTGAAGCAAACATGAACACCACCAGCAGCCACCGCAACAATGACTTTAAGACAAAGAAATATTTTTCAGTCCCCTTGAACCGAAACACACCCTATTTCATTTTACTTAAAGTAGGACGGCCCAGATGTGTAAAAGGAGTAATAAGACAGTTTCACTAACAAAGGATAGGGTGGTTGTGTAAGAATCAGGAAGACAATAAAAAATATACTTTGGAAAAAAAAAAAATTATGTCCGGAAAAGTTCTTTCAAGTGATCCCAATGCTTTAGAACACACACAAAAGATCATGCGGTAATTTTTATACTTTCTTACCAGTTTCAAAAGTCAGTGTTCATAGCTCATGATTTTACTGCAATTACTAAGTGACAATCACATGCGGATATATTCAGTAGCATTTAATCCCACGGGCATTCACTAATGTATTAGAATTATGCTTCAGTATTAGATTTTTAATCAAGATGATCACCTTTCTCGTGAATACTGACTTGGGAGGCACAAATTGTCAAGAATGTTTAAAAAAAAAATACTATTTTGAATCGTAAGTCATATTTCTCATAAAAAATGATACTTTGTCAGCAATACTTTTATAAAATTGCTTGATTTGGAGCTGTTTCCTTGCAGATCCACTGTTATGGTTTGGATGGGAGGTGTCCCCCAGAAGCTCATGGGTGAGACAATGCAAGAACATTCAGAGGTGAAATGATTGGGTTATGAGAGCCTTAACCCAATCAGTAAATTAATCCCCTCATGGGGATTAAGTGAGTGGTAACTGGAGGCAGGTGGGGTGTGGCTGGAGGAGGGGGCATTGGGGGAGTGCCTTGGGGGTCTCTATTTGTCTCTGGAGAGTGGAGTCTCTCTCTGCTTCCTGATCACCATGTGAGCTGCTTCCCTCCACCACACTCTTCCTCCATGATGTCCTGCCTCCCCTCGAGCCCTGAGGAATGGAGCCTGCTGTTTACGGACTGAGACCTCTGAAACATGAGCTTCCAATTAAACTTTTCCTCCTCTATGATTGTTCTTGTCAGATCTTTCAGTCACTTTACCAGATGAGGCAGGAAAATACAGGAGAATAGAGGGAAGAAAACACAGGACAGGACAGTTCTTGTCCCACCCACACAGGAGCGAATCCTCACCTGCTCCTGGCCCTTTCCTTCGCTTTCCTCTCTCCCTGGAACACCCAGTTCCCAGTTCTTCCTGGTACCCGCTCATTCCCATATCAGGATTTGCTCTAATGGTCTCTACAGAGAAGGGATCAATCACGGAGGCCCTCTGTCAGGATACCCCCCTCCCTGTGCAGTTATCTTGTCTGATGCCCTGCTGTTTCCTTCCTCTAAGAGAAACTCCATGAGGTCAGAGTCATATGTGTCTTCTGTCCAGTCCCCAGACCAGGGCCAGGCACTCAATAAATATTTGAAGAAGAAATAATTGAATGTATGATCCACTGTTTTAGTCAGCTTTTTCCTGCTGTGACTAAAAGATCGGATCAGAACAATTATAAAGGAGGAAACGTTTATTTGGAGACTCACAGTTTCAGAGGTCTCAGTCCACAGACAGCAGGCTCCATTCCTCGGGGTTCGAGGGGAGGCAGGACATCATGGAGGAAGAGTGTGGTGGAGGGAAGCAGCTCACATGGTGATCAGGAAGCAGAGAGAGACTAAGAGCTACTCACTATATATATATATATATATATATATACCCCAAAGCCACACCCCAATGCCCACCTCTTCCAGCCACACCCTACCTACCTCCAGTTACCACTCTGTTAATCCCCATGAGAGGATTAATTCACGGATTGAGTTAAGGCTTTCATAACACCCACCATTTGTATCTGCACGTGACTTTGCACACAACTGGAAGAATCTGAAGGCTTTCTCTAAAACCAGCCTCCCAGGACTTCATGCCTGCAGGAGGCAATTAGTCACCACCTTTCAGGTTCGCTGGCTATTTCTTTGCATTCTCATCATGACAGGAAAATTATACAGTAGAGAACTGTCAGATATCACAGATTTGGCTCATATGAGGAAAAATAGGTAAGAGTCAGTGAGCAGCTTCTCTGATGTTTCTGCAACAGTTCACATGAGATATTGCACCATGATTCACAGTTA